CCCCGCCGGCCCCACCCGCCGGCCGCGGGGCGCGCCCGCCATGTCCTACCCGCAGTTTGGGTACCCCTACTCCTCGGCACCCCAGGTAAGGGGACCCCGCGAGGGCCACCGGGGCGACGCCACACTGGCGGGGCTGGCTGGAGGCCCACGGTCCGTCGTTCCCCCAAGGCCTGTGCTGCGCCCCTGGCGTCCGCCTCCGGGGGCCAGCTGAGCCTCGGGAGCGCAGGGGAGCGCTGGGCGGCTCTGGAACCCCCAGCCGCATTTCCTGCTTCGCTCTGCCCCGCCCCCACCGCCCCAGGCTCGGAGGCTGTGCCCCCAGGCCGCGGGAGGCGTGGACACCCCAGGGCTGGGCAGCGAGGCCCCAAGCGGCTCCAGGCTGCAGGCAGGCGCGGAAATGCTAGCGCAGTGGGGCCTCACGGGGAGCCCCCAGGAGTGGAGCCGCGCAGGGTGTGGGGGGCCTGAGCCCCAGCCGCGCGCCCCGCCCTTCCTCGCCCCCCTTGCCCCCCCAGTTCCTGATGACCACCAACTCCCTGAGCACGTGCTGCGAGTCCGGTGGCCGCACGCTGGCCGACTCGGGGCCCGCCGCCCCCGCCCAGGCGCCGGTCTACTGCCCGGTCTACGAGAGCCGGCTGCTGGCCACGGCGCGCCACGAGCTCAACTCGGCCGCGGCGCTCGGCGTCTACGGGGCCCCCTACGGCGGCTCGCAGGGCTACGGCAACTACGTGACCTACGGCTCCGAGGCGTCCGCCTTCTACTCGCTGGTGAGCGGGAGCCGCTCCCCAAACCCGCGGAGGGGGGCGGTGCGGGCGGCACCCCACGGCCCGCGCCCTGCCTCCTCCGGTTCCCCCCACTCTGCTGCTGGCGGCGGGAGGGGCGGGAGGGGCGGCCCGCTGGGACTTGAAGGTTTCGGAGGGCGACGAGGCCCAGGCCGTGGGGCTTCTGCTGCCCTGGGCCAGCCGGCCCAGCCCTCCCAGGGCCCAGCCCCGGCCCCAGCCCCCTCCCAGCCCTGGAACTTCCCCTCCCGACCTTCCTGCTCCCCCTCCCCACCGTCCCGGCTTCCTCCCCACCTGGCTCCTCCCGCTTCTCTCCTCCCGCCCCCACCCAGTCCCGTTCCCTGCCCAAAGCCCCCCTCCTCCTTCCAGTCCCCAGCCCAAGTCCCACCCCCTCCACCCTCCTCCCGGACTCTCCCGTCCAGGAGCTCCGGGCTGCCAGGCAGGTGAAGGTGGGGGCAGGGGTGGGGCTGCCCCTACCTCTGGCACCCTGGCCCCAGGCTCCTGCGCTCCCACAGAACAGCTTCGAGGCCAAGGAGGCAGCGGGGTCCGCCCACACCGGCCTGGCGCCCGCGGCGGCCACTGCCTACTACCCGTATGAGCCTGCGCTGGGCCAGTACCCCTACGACAGGTGAGGCCCCAGCCCCCCACTGCCAGTGGCTGAGAGGCTGCACCGGAGCAGCGACTGCCGGCTCCTGAGCGAGCCCTGGCGCCTCTGCAGCTCCTGTGTGTGGCTGGGGGGTGGCTCTCCCTGGGGGCTCCAAGGGCCCCCCACCGCAGGAGCAGGCCTCCAGCCAGGCCTCCCTCCCCACAGGGTGGGGCGTCAGCATCGTCCAGAGGACCCTGGCGGAGGGACGTGTCACCCGTGTACGCAGAAGGTGCCCCGGCCCCTCCCAGGACACTGGCCGTGGCTGCTCCCTGGGGGGCTGGCGGGGCGGCTCTGATCTTGAGACTGAGAAAGTGGGAGATGCCCAGTAGGGGGTCGGGAGCCGTCCAGGGGGAGAGGCCTGCGGCCTCGCTCCTGCTCCGTCCCGGCCGGGCGGCCCAGGCCCCGCTCCTGGACCCAGAGCCTGGTCAGGGCCAGGAGGACAGCGGGTCTGGGCCGGACCTGGGTCGCACCCAGGGCGGCCGACTGGAGCCGCCCGGCCGGGAAGCGAGGCCGAGGCCATCGGCCTGGGCCCCGGCCCCGCCCCACTGCCCAGCCTGTCCCCAGGTACGGGACCATGGACAGCGGCACGCGGCGCAAGAATGCCACGCGGGAGACCACCAGCACGCTCAAGGCCTGGCTGCAGGAGCACCGCAAGAACCCCTACCCCACCAAGGGCGAGAAGATCATGCTGGCCATCATCACCAAGATGACCCTCACGCAGGTGTCCACCTGGTTCGCCAACGCCCGCCGGCGCCTCAAGAAGGAGAACAAGGTGACCTGGGCCCCAAGGAACAAGTGCGCAGAGGAGAAGCGGCCCTTCGGGGAGGGCGAGGAAGAGGAAGGGGCCGAGGAGGAGGCCCGGGAGGAGCCCCTGAGCGGCGCCACGCACGAAGGTGGGTTGGGAGGGCCGGCCACCTGCGCCCCGCCCCCGAAGCGGCCGGAGCCCTGTGCCCTGTGTGGGGGCGCCCACGCTGTGGCGCTAGCGGCAGCCCCAGACCCCAGGCCTGAGCTGAGGCTGGGGCAGCTGCCTGTCTCTGCACAATCCAGAGCCTGGGGGGCGGGGGGCATAACTGGGGCTCCCTGAGCACGCCAAGGCCATAGGCTCCGGTCACCGGTTCCCTGACCCACTGGATGCACTTTCTCGCTCGGCAGAGGCATCCGGCGAAGAGGAGAAGGAGCTAGAGCTCAGTGACTTGGAGGACTTGGGCGCCCTGGGGGCGGAGCCCCCCGAGTGTGAGCTGAAGCCCCCTTGCCAGCCCCTGCGCAGCAGCCTGGACAGCCTGGAGCGGGGCCCCGGCGGCCCCGGCAGGGAGACCTCGGCTGCCCTCCC